ATCTTGTTCAATTCCTTTTCATCAGCTACAGCCTCTGCTAGGACTTCCTTTTTTCATTTAGGTGGATCAGTCTGTCTCTTATCTTGATTTTCTTCTTCATTTTCTTTGAGTCTGTGTTCCCTAATTTCTCCTACGACCGTATATACTTCCTCAATTTCTTCCTCTGTTTCATTTATCCGTGATAACACATCTGCGTTCATGTGGGTATTTCCTGACCTATGTTAGATCGTATAGTTGTACAGTTGTAACTGAAGTATCCATCGTGCCTTACGTCCCTTCAACTTCGTACTATGTAGCCACTTTAGTGCTGAGTGGTCCATTATGATTATAAAGGGCTTAAAGCCAAAATAATGGTAGTAGTATTCAACCGCCCAAATAACTGCCAGGCACTCCAATTCACACGCGGAATAATTTCTTTCGGCTTTAGATAAGCTGCGGCTGGCATAGAAAATTACGTGTTTCTTCTTGCTTTCATCTTTCTGGGCCAGGACAGCCCCTAATCCAGTGCCAGATGCATCGGTATACAAATAAAACCTATCGTCGAAATCGGGATACTTCAGAATGGGTGCTATTGTCAGGTGGTCTTTTAACGCCTCAAATGCCCCTTGTTGCTCCTGTTCCCAACGAAAACTAACTTTTTTTTGCATTAAATGGTGTAGAGACCTTGCAATATGGTGAACCCAGGTATGAACCTTCTGTAGTATGATGCAAGGCCAATGAACCCCCTTAACTGGTGTAGTATACCTGGTATTGGATAATTTCTTACTTTTTCTACTTTACTTTCGTCAGGTTGTATCTCTTGCCTTCCAATTATGTGTCTGAGAAAATGGATGGTGGGTTTAAAGAAATCGTATTTCTCAACGTTGATTTTTAATCCCGCTTCGGCCAACTTATCAAATACTTTCTTTAGATGCCCCAAATGTTTATCGAACATTCTTGAATATACATTATTATCATAGATATACACGACCACGAACTTCCCAATATACTCCTCCAAGACAAGGTCCATTAGGCGCTGAAAGATGGCTGGCACATTCAACAACCAAATGGCATAGCAATAAACTCGTACAATCCACTCTGCGTTATAAAGGCTGTCTTCTTCTTGTCTTCTTCTTCGACTTTCACTTGCCAGTATCCGCTTTTTAGATCTAAACTAGTGAATCAACTTTCAGTACTAAAGGTCTCCAATAGGTTATCTATTCTTGGCAGTGGGTATGCGTCCTGTCTCGTAACCTCATTTAACTTCCTATAATCTATACAGAGGTGTAGCTTCCCACCTTTCTTTGGGACCACGACTATGGGCGAAGCCCACAGGCTACTAGACTTCCGAATCAAACCCCTTTCTTCTATTTCTTTTAGTTTCTTTTCTATAAACTCATATTCGTTTGGTGCCGCTCTGTAGGCTCTTTGCTTTATCGGTTTGGCCCTGCCAGTATCGATCTGGTGACTTGTTATGGTAGTTTTCCCGAAACCCTGCATATTATTGGTAAATATGTTTCTTTTTTTCTGAAAAAATTTGTCCACCTTTTTCTTCTCTTCTTTGTCTAGGGCGTTGTTTTGTAAGAACTTTTCTATCTGTTCTTCTATTGTAGGATTTGCTTCTGTATCTTTCTTAGTCAATACTTCTTCTATATCTGTCAGATATATTGCTGGGCTCGTTACTTCTTCCCAGGGGTTATAAAACAACCCATTGTCTTCTTCGCTAGTTTCTTCGGTATA